TGGGTATTTGACATTTGGTGTTCTGTGTGTCAGGACGTCACAAAGTCACATGTCAGCACACCGCAGTGTGTATTATAGTTAAACATCAATCAAACAAACACTTATACATAAGTAAGTAAAAATATCCGTCCACACCAGAATTAAAAACTAACTGACGCCCTTGTAGGTAAGTGCTGCCACAGAGATGAGTCCCAGAAAATGAAATTATTCTTCGCAATGTTTTTAAAGGCACACTTAGTAGTTTTAGCTTGCTTTTAGCGCCCCCTACAGCCCGTTACTTACTCACTGTCGTAAACCAATAGTGAAACTCATGTCCTCGCTGTGCGTTTGTCTTTTTAACACCGTGATCTAACAGCTGAACTCTCCTCAGCCTTCGTTAGTGTCTACAGGAGCGGTTCATCACTAAATGAAACAAATCAGCTGTGTTTGTGATCAAAAACATGCAGGAAACGTGCTGGAAGCAGACTGCAGCAGCAGGCATGTCAGCTCCACTTTACTGACTTTACAGGGAGCCGTCCGGATACTCTGAAGTTGCAAGTGCAATATTCTGGCCACGGGGGCAGCGGGGCTCTCAGTGACTACTCATTAACCCTGTAAAGGGTCATTTTAGCACATACTGGCTGAAGAAAATGATTTAAAACTATGAAAAGAGTGCAGCGAATTTGTGATGTGCGTTTGAAGAAGAGAGGAAATGATGTAGGGGATCCCAGTGACTCTGATGGCGCGTTAGTGCTCCAGTCCACACAAACGGCTCGGCATCAGAAATGAATGAGCGATAAATGCATATTTATAAGGAAATCAGGTGAGTGAGTGAGACAGGCAGAGAGACAGAGACTTTAATGATTCCCGATGAGATGAGTGGCCCGGCTGACAACCGAAATGAACAGGAATCAATAGAGAGAGCGTCTGTCTGCAGCAGATAAGACACACACACACAATGTTGACTATTAAAGACGACAGCTTGAGATATTACACTATTAGTTATGCTATTTTTAATCAGCTATCATATTTAATTAATTCTTTGGGTCAGATGCTATCTGAGTGTGCGAGCATGCTGGGACGGCTCGGTGTGTTAGTGGAGGCTGGAGGGTCATTACTCCTGTAATGAGGAAGAAGAGGAGGGCTAATCTAAAATACAGAACCTTGAAACGACACAAAATAGAAACCCCAGAGGAGGGGAAGATGGACGAGAGAAGGAAGGGATGGAGTGTGAGCAGACGACGGCGCGGTGTCAGGTTTTTAATATTCAGTTCTGCCTCTTGTCACGCCGTGACAGACCTCAAATCCCCGTAAACCAGCGCCTCCATTCCTCAGCCACTGTTCCCTAAAGATAGTAAACGGGCTGGGCCTGCATGGTGCTTCATTCTGGTTATTCATGTGTTTTTATTCCAGCTCTGAGACGGAGGAGGAGCTGCCGTCAGAGCTGCACCAGGACCCCTACAGGAGCAGGGAATCAAACCAGCAACCCTGCGTTTACGGGACAGCGCACTCTGATGAACGTCCGGGGTCGGTACCGTAAAGGGTTGATGTGGAGACTTTTTATCTGGACAAATAACTGAATTGACATGAATTTAATGTTTGTCTCCATAGAAACAAACTGAAAGTGATTTTAATGAGTTCTAGTCGTGTATCAGGTTTAAGTCAGGCGTTGTTCCGACCCGGGTCAGGTCTGGGTCGTAGACTCACCCGAGTCGGGCACAGGATACGTATTCAGCAGTCTGCTCAGAGTGCAGAGATGGGAGGTGTGTGTGTGTGTGTGCGTGCGTGCGTGCGTGCGTGCGTGCGTGCGTGCGTGCGTGCGTGCGTGCGTGTGTGTGTGTGTGTGTGTGTGTGTGTGTGTGTGTGTGTGTGTGTGTGTGTGAACAAACCCGCTCTGATCAGCTGCTAATTATTGTAATTATGATTCATTACTGTCTCCGATTAATTTAATAAAGAGGAGGCAGAGCAGAGCTCGTTAACCTTCATTACAATAATTGTAGACACAAGACACACACTCTCTCTCACACACACACACACACACACACATACATATAATACTGTGCTGACGGCAAGACTCTGGTGCTGTTAGAACCTGGATGACCCTGTGAGTGTGTATGACCCTGTGAGTGTGTGTGTGAACTAAATTATTTGAGTTTTTACCTACTTAAAGTGGGAGGAGCCTATGACTACTGTGCTGTTTCTCGTCATAGTCTTTATTTAAGTGCTTCACGACCACCTCGTGTAAAAACACAAGCAGTAAAGGCCAAGTAAAGACCAGCAGAAGCTATAAAATAAAAGCAGGTGAGATTAGCCAGTTATCTACACGGCATAATCGAATGAAGGGAACAGCGGTAAGTGGTTGGTGACAAACGTGAACAACTGTGTAAGTATTCCTTAGACACTAGGCGTATGACCTCACCCAGGTGATTGAGACGACTGAAACAAGAACGTACCACCTCATCTAACCCGACCCTCGAGTTGGAGAGAAGCATGCTTTTCTAATCTGCCTTGTGTCCTGTGGTTGATCTGTCACTGATAACTTCCGTTTTATCCTGATTGAAATTTAAGAAACGGACTGCCCTCCAGGCTCGACATCTTCCAGACTGTCTAGATGTGGCTTAATCCAGCCTACGGTACTCCTCAACAGAGATCTGCAGTCATCTGCATAAGATGAAATTCTTAAGCCTGATTCACACCGAGAATGGAACGGGTGCAGTCCGGTGTCCGTACTGCTTTCACAAAGACCGCCATTCACACTGACTGTGGTTCCTGTCTCCGACTCCGGATAAGCGGCTGAAAATGGATGGATGGATGTGGTTCCTGTGCTGATCCTCTCTGGATATCTGCTCCCACAATTAGCACCAAATAATTATTTGACGTAATGCATTTAAAAATATACATGTAACGTGAACTGTCATCACTGTGAACTGATTTCCCTGTCGTTAAAGAGACAGCGTGTAGTTTTTACCATTAATTTCTGGGAAAATCCATCAAAAATGTTGTTGAAAATGAACGACATGATGCCCAGTTGTTGAAAAATATTGGCAGCTTCTTAACATACAGCCATAAAAATCAAGTCTAAAATACACGGGAGCAGGTCTAAGCCATATTAGATGTCATGTTGCCTTCTACGGGAACCCATGAGAACAAAATGCATTTACTGATTTGTAACACATGGTTACAAAACATTTGTCATTCTTAAACATTGTTGTTTTACACATTTACCTCCACTTGTTGCCAGCGATGAAAGGGAGTCTGATGTGCTTGTTATATTGCTAAAGTTAGCCCTCGTTTTTTACCCTAATGGGCATCCGTTGGTAAGGTCTTACTCCAACACAAAAATACTGCTTGCTTGCAAACGATTTAGGTATCTACTGCGCCCTATCGCCAGGAAAAACACAAAGTTGCTAAAAATATATATCAGACCGATGCAACACTTATTTAATTTTGAAATATAACAAAATCAGTTCTTGTCTGGCTCGTGTAATTTCTTTACTTCTTGACATTCTAAAAAATCGACTCTATGTGGAAACTCTCCGGAGCTCCACATTTGCACTACATTGCTGCTGGTGGGAATGCTCTGATTTGACTCAGTGAATTTTGTTTTTTGCGGAAGCTGTACGATAACCGGACTGCATCTGTTCTGCATTCGGTGTGAAAGAGGCAGCAAGTAGAGGGAGAAAGGCAAAGGGCCAAGGACAGACCCCTGAGGCACACCCCAGGGGAGATCCACGCAAGAAGATGAAGAAGAAGATTCATGCTGAAAGAAATGTAAACATGTGTTACACGGAGCATCAGAAGCCTCCTGCATGGCCACAACTAGCACAAAATCCAGAATCCATTAAACAACTCTAGCAGATTCCAAGAAAATGATCGGATAATATTAGCACCATCCTTGCATGTTCTGGTATCAAGTCCAGCATTCTTTTAGTTTTTCCCAGAAAACCTGTGGTCTGTCTGAGATCCAGCAGAACAACAGAACCTCTGACCAGGTCAGTGCTGACCCGCATGTGGAACTGGACTTTTATTTTCATTGTGGATGTTCCTCTGACTAAGGTATTTCAGGGTCAGCTGGTTCTGGGTGTGAAATAAACGTGTGTTATTTTTAATATTTAAGAGACTGGGATGTAGTTAATCTGTGGAGGCAGGAAGAAGCTCTCTGATTGGTTAATCGTGTCTCATTGTTCCAGCTATTATTTGTTTAACTTTTATTTTTTCTTCTTCAGGATCATTGAACAAACCAATTACATGGAGCTGACCTTAGAGGGGAGGAGGACAGGGCGCCCCCCCCCCCCCCACACACACACACACACACACACGGACCCGTGGCTGTAAATGAGAATCAACGGAATATTAAGTCCCTGTATTAGAATAAACACGCTGCGTGTTAAATCAAAATCCAATTCTGTGCTCTATTATTTTCTGGCACCGTAATGACCGCCGGGATTAGGAATCAATATTTCACTGCAGCGAGACGGTACCGTCTTTATTCTGGTCCTAATTGAGTTCTGAGAGCAGGCCCGGTCCCGGAATCTGCATCAGACCCTCAGCAGCTCTGAAACACCGGGCCGGTACAGAACCGAGCCTAGCGTTATGAAAAGTTCCTGTGGAATTTACCATCATCATCATCTTCATCTTCACCGCCATCATCATCATCATCATCATCATCAGGAGGCAGCGCGCGCTTTCCGCGCTCTGCCCCTTGTTCTAAGATGACGCGCGCCGCCACACGCGCACGGAGAGATAATGGCCTATTAGCGCGAGCGGGATTAATTTGTAGCCAATTACAAACCGCAGAGTTAAAGGAATGTATAAATAAGGAGGAGGAGCACACACACACACACACACACACACACACACACACACACACACACACACACACACACACACACACACACACACACACACACAGTGTAGCGCAGAGAAATGTGCAAGTGATAAAGGTCCAGGGGGGGTTGGGGGGTTGGGGGGAGGGGGGCTTCAAAACCGCGGAGGAGCGGCAGACAGCCGCTTTAGGTCTCTCACTACCGGGACAGGAGGATCGGTCCGTGCTGCAGCTCCCCGCTGGCTCTCGGAGCGCTCCACCAGAACCGGTCACGACCCATCAGAACCCTCCAGGACCTACCAGAATCCGCTTGAACTTGCAAGGACCAAACGTGACCCAGGACCTACCAGGTCACCTGGGCAGGTCGGGGCGTGAAGCTGTATCGGGATACCGGTTTGGTGCAGATCAAAGGTCCGGACGCAGCAGGACTAGTTGGAGACCAGAGGACAGAAAGGACCTGAAGACCCTGTTCTGACCCAGAACACCCGAGGCCTGACCTGTCCAGCTGGCACCGCCACGGACCGGATGTTGATGCGCGCGTGAGCCGCTCGGGTGCGAAGTCCCTCCTATTGGCATGAAGAGCAGCAGGCCCGAGTTCTTCTGATCCGGTTCTGACATTTTATCTCTTTGTTCAGTTCTGAACCTTTCCAGCCCGCATGGGACAGAGGGAGTGATGAACCGGGACAGAGGCGCGGTACCGGGACCGGACGGACTCCAGACCGTTACAAACCGGGACAGAACCGCGGCAGGGCCCGTGACTGACACGGTTCAACAGTCAGTGAGTCGGGACCGAGCGGTTCTTCAGGTGCCGAACGGGATAGAAAGGGTCCAGACGCTAGTGGGCCCGGAAAGTGGAGACATGCTGGATCCGGGTGGTACCGGAGAGAAGCGGATCTTCCCCGGAGCGGGGTCCGGAGGCAGAGAGGGGCAGACCGGGGAGAACAACTCGGAACCTCCACCGACGAACCCGGTGTTGGTCCCGCCACAGCAGGTACGGACTGCACCTCCCGGGTTTTGTTGATTTTATTATTATCATCATCATAGTTGTGGTTGTTTACGGTGGTGCTGTTTATAATAATAATAACAATAATAATTATTATTATTATAATTATTATTATTGTTATTATTATTATTATAGTTGTTGTTGTTTACGGTGGTGCTGTTATTTATAATAATAATAAGTATTATATTATTATTATTATTATTATAGTTGTTGTTGTTGTTGTTGTTTACGGTGGTGCTGTTATTTATTATTATTATTATTATTATTATTATTATTATTATTATTATTATTATTATTATTATTATTATTATTATTGTTCTGATTATTGGGTCCGTTCAGATCTAAAGTGAACCCCCCTCCCTCTCTCCGTCCAAAAAATTAAAAGCAATAAAAAACAAAACTAACGAGCAACGAACTGGAACTGTAAGATGATCTGAGCCGAACCGGGTCGGAACGCGCAGAGTTCTGGTTTTTAATTAACTTGCGGTCCACTGCTGTTCTGATGTTTCAAACGTTTCTAAAGTTCTGCATCAGGAACATCCGGGGACACCAGATCCATCAGAACCGGGTTAGAATCTCAGACCTGGAGGCAATATTGTTCCGTTCTGATCCAAATTGTCTATTAGTTATTAATAATTCGGTGTGTGTGTGTGTGTGTGTGTGTGTGTGTGTGTGTGTGTGTGTGTGTGTGTGTGAGAGAGAGAGAGAGAGAGAGAGAGAGAGAGAGAGAGAGAGTCTGTTCAGAACGTTCAGTTCTGAATCTGGTCAGGATCACTTATACATTATTATTATTATTATTATTATTATTATTATTATTATTATTATTATTATTATTATTATTTAAAAATTGTTAGTGTGATACTATTTTTTATTTAATTGGTATTTCATAATATTAGTCTGATTTTGAGGTTATAACATTTATTTTTATTCTTAATTATAAATTAAATATTCTATAATCATCTGATGTATTTATTCAGTTTGTTCAATTTCGTCTAAAACAGTTTAATGACAATCAATTGATTTGAATTATGTTTCCTTATTTTCTAATAAAATAAAGTATAAAATACCATTATTACTAATATGTTTATTGTTGTAACATTTCATTATTATTATTATTATTATTACTATATTATTATTATTATTATTATTATTATTATATTATTATTATTATTATTATTATTATTATTATTATTATTGCTATATTATTATAATTATTATATTATTATTATTATTATTATTATTATTATTATTATTATTATTATTATTATTATTATTATTATTACTACTATTAGTTAAATGTTTCCGAGACTCAGACTGGACTAGAACCCACAGGGTAACTGACTGACCTCACGTGTTGTTTCAGAGCCCCACCAGTCACCGAACCACCTCCTTCTCCGTCCTGGACATCCTGGACCCGAACAAGTTCACGAGCAGCCGCCGGTACCAGCACCAGCAGCTCCTACGCGGGGAGCGCGAGCTGAGCGCGTTTGAGGCGGAGAACCGGAGAGGAGGAAGCGGGGAGGCGAGCCGGAGCCGCTGCGGTTCGGAGGAGTACCAGACCTGTGAGTGGACCTGCTGTTTCTAGTCAGCTGATCTGAGGAGGTTCGGGAGAATTCACCGAATCAAAAATCCGTTGGTTTCGTTAGAATCTACCAGCTGTTGTTTGTTTTTGTTTACTTTAATTCACCTGATCGGTTCCGGCACTACGGATCGGTCTGATCCCAGACCAGCTGACAGCGCACTTTTTAAAACCTTTAATTCAATTCAATTATATAAGAGGGCGCGAAATTTCCTAACGCACTTCAGCAACCGCGCGCGCGCGCGCGCGCGTGTGTGAGTGTGTGTGTGTGTGTGTGTGTGTGTGTGTGTGTGTGTGTGTGTGTTCTAAACAGCTCGGATTGTTTTAATTTCACTAAAATAACTTAATTGATTTCCTGACGTCACTAATAAACCGGATGTATAATTTTTATCAGTTTCCTGAACTAAATTGGAATTGTCTCACATCTTAAACGACCGGCGTGAACAAACTGGAGGGCTCCTGGTTCCGTTGGAACAAGCTGGTGGAGTCGGAAGTGTTTTTAGGACGAACCCCCTCCCGTCGGACCAGACCGATCCGAACCGGGTTCATATTTTTTTGTCTTCGTTCAGATGATGATTTTTGTTTTTCCAAAATAAAATCAGCTGGAAAATCTGGAGGAAGAAATAAACAAACAAGAAAATGATGTTTTTCATAAGAAAAAGTTTCGTTTTCATAATCGGAGCATCAAGTGTTAAAATAGTCAGTTATTAAACAGGTAAAGGGACGAAGCATCAGCCAATCAGAGCTCAGAGAAATTAGAAACGATAAAACCATCTACCAGAAAGACACGAATAATAATATAGTTATCAGTTTAGATGGAAAAATAGGAAATGTATTATTGAAAATCAGATTTTCTTTTAGTTTAATTTCTTGTTTGATTGTTTTCATTTATGGTATTTGTGTTTATTAACCTGCGTTTGTTCTTTTAGTGACTTTATGATAGTCAGTGTTTCTTTTGAGATGCCACATCTGATGGAGAAGCAAAAAATAACAACAATAATAATAGCAGTAATTTTAATACACGAAATAATATTAACTACAATACCAAAAATCTAAATATTACTACTACTACTACTAATAATAATAATAATAATAATACATCTATTTGTTTCTTTATTCTTTCTCCTAATTAATAAATGTACTAAAAAACTTTTAGACAAAGACGTGACTTATGGAGCTTCAGTAGCAAAAATAACATTAAGTGACAGAAGATCAAACAAAACAAAAAAACGCAACATTCGCTCATAAAAAACCAATTACATCTTGCCAACTCAGAACAAAAAATAAATACAACAAATGTAAAAAAAAAATTAAAAACGGCCTCGTGGCCCATTAGCCTCAGCAGCTCAGTAATAACAATTATTTAGTTTTTTCTCCATGTTTATTTCAATTTATTTAATTTTATTTCCTGTTTGAAAAGCATGAGGCATAAATTAAAGCTGTGGAGCTCCCGAGTCTCACCCCCACTCATCACTCACCTCCTGACAGGATTTGATTTTTCATTTTAGAAACAAAAACTCAACTTTTAATTATTACTATTTTTGTTGCTCATTTATTTTTTATTTAAGTTGTTCAAAAACGTTTTCCTACTCTTCACAAGGCGTCAAAAGCCAGCAGAGAAGAGAAAAGCTGCCTCAGACCACCCAGTCACATGTAGAGCTCAAGTTCAATTCATGTTCAAACTTTTATATTTAATTATTTACTTCATGCTTAATCGGCTCAAATGAAGTTTGGTGATTTTGATCAAAACTGGTTTTTATTTAAACTATCTGTTTTGCATGTACTTTTAATTATGTTGTTGTTTATTTGTTTTGTTAATAAGTATTCTTTATTATGAATTAAAATTGTGTTTTTTAATTAATAATAAGTTATTTAATATTTTAGTTATTAGTTACTGATGAATTGTTAGTTTTATTTTGCATCTGAATCATCTCGTCTTGTTGTGTCTTCAGCGGAAGCCTTCGTGTACCGAAGCCCGGATGAGGAGGAGTACCACCGGTCTGGGACTCCAGACTCGGAAGCTCCAGACGGAGCCTACAGCAGTGAGGAGAGTAGTTCTGCTCTTCCGAGTAACGGAGACAGAGAACTGGACCCGCACAGCCACCAGGACCCCAGCAGAGACACCAAGAGCCCAAATGGAGGCTCTGAAGCTCAGACTGGCAGCAGCCAGGCCAGTGGGGTCCCGGGGGCCAAGCCCAAAAGGAAACGATCCGGCTCTGATTCGAAGTCGGGAAAGCCCCGCAGAGCACGGACTGCCTTCACCTACGAGCAATTGGTGGCGCTAGAGAACAAGTTTAAGTCCACGCGCTACCTGTCTGTGTGTGAACGTCTCAACTTGGCTCTGTCCCTGTCCCTCACTGAGACCCAGGTCAAAATATGGTTCCAGAATCGTCGGACCAAGTGGAAGAAGCAGAACCCGGGAGCCGACACCTCCGCCCCCACTGGTGCAGGAGGAGCTGGAGGCACGGGGGGAGGGTCAGGAGGAGGCTTGGGGAGCCTGAGTCCACTCAGTCCATCCCCTCCAGTGAGTGGACACCTGGCCATGCATGCTGGCTACGCGGGCCACCATCATCCCCCTGCAGGGAGCCTGGTCCAGCTGCCCTTCCTCACAGCGAGCCACGTCCTGTCTCCGTTTATGCTGGGGACACAGAGTTACGCTGCCCCTGCCTTCTACAGCACTCACCTCTAGGCCCCACCCCCTCCAGGGTCCTCAGACAGCAGCAGGAACCTACTGAGGAGCACCTGGAGAGGAGGACACATGGCCCTAGTGGGCTCTGAGCTCTGCAGAGCGTGTTCAGACTGAATATGGAGCAGAAACTCTAGATAAATGTTGTTCTGAACGCAGTCAGGACTGATAGAACTAGAGCTGATCTCTTCCTGTTTCCTCTCAAGTCTGTACAAATACTGAATGTTTCCTTAAGGAATGGCTTGATCTGTTGTCAGAAGTTTGTACCTCCAGCTGTGCCAGTTTTTGTTTGTTATTTATTCAGTTTGTTGACAGTGAACCCTGGATGTCCCCGCTCCTCTGCCCAACACCTTGTTGTCCTTTCATATTAAAATAATGACGATTAAACAGAAAGAACAAGCCCTCAAAGTGTTTCCATCTCCACAGCAGGAACTCCTCTCAGAGGAAATCAGACAGGTGCGGTCCACACTGCATGTGACATGGGTCTCAGAACTGAAGGCTTTGGTCTTTGTCTGGTTGTCCTTTATGGATCTCAAACTGCACCTAATTGGTCTGAAACGATTGTAAACACATCTTGCAGCCCAAATGGCTCATTATGTTTCACAGATTAAGTCCTGCTGGTAGGAGAGACGAAACCAGGAGGGAGGAAGTGGGCTGACATGCACACTGAGAAGTCTTTAATTACAACGTGACTTCCCAGCAAGGCTGCAAAAGCCTCCATCCCTGGATCAAAGGCTGGCTCAAGGAGCAAAAACCAGAAATGACCAAAGAGTGGAGTTGGTCCGATCAGAGCTAAACACCCACACCCCAACACAGCTGTGCTAGGCTGAATACCATCCAACTGCTGCTCCACTGCAATATGGGCCTGATGTTGTTTCAGTCAAATCAGGATTGAAGGATCATATTTCCCTTATGATGAGGGATTACCCCCCCCCCCCCCCCCCCCACACACACACACACACACACACACACACACACGCAAGCACCAATCAGGGCATTTCCATCATCACATTTAAATACTTTGTTTATGTAGCATCAATTACCAACACAAGTCATCTCAAGCAAACAGTCTGATTGAACCCACTTAATAGTGAACTTGGTACGTGCAGCCATCTGTCACGACTGACAGGGCTTGAGACGACAGAGCAGACACACAAAAACAGAGAGGTAAACTAGTAGTAGCACATTCTACGTTAACGAAAGTAAAGAGTTAATTTCAGGAGGGGAAGGATGTTCAGATGGTCCCCTCCATGAGGCTATCACAGCTAAACCGGTGTAGCTTCTTCTGTAGAGGAAAACACTTAGAAAACAATCAAGTTAACAGCTGAAATAACAGGAAATAACGCAACTGAAGAGTATTGGTTGAAGGACGTGGTAGAGTGTGGAAAGTGGTCAGTAAGTCCTCCTGCAGCTACTGAGGTTTCTTTGTTCTAGACTCAACTTCTGGATTCCATATTCCAGATTGTCTTTCTGTTGTTCCACCGCAGTTTTAAGAAGCTATTAAGTCAAAATGATGTTTCTGATAATTACTCAAAGCCCTATGGCCCTTCAGTAGACCCCGAGCAATGGTCCCGGGACCACTGTTGAGCTTCACTTCAACTGAGGGCTCCGCCAGGGTTCGGGTCGCGACGCTATTTCGACTGTTTCTGTTGTGAAAGCGGGTCATACTACCAACCCGGACCGCACCATTCATGGGCCAGCTTCAGTTGTTGGTCAATGGGACAGCAGACCAGCTGGCGCCACACAACACAGTGTATTGATTGGGGACAGAAAAACGTCACTGCTAGCAACAGGAAAAAAAACCCCACAAGAGTACTGTTATTTCTACCGTTCTTTTTGTACACAGGCGTGAGAATATGCCAGCCGATAGTAGCAAGGTTTGGTTGGCTCAAGAACTAAAAATGTTCCTCACCATTGTCAGCGATGGCCACAAACACACCAAACTTCAGATCAATACCAGTAAATCATGATAATCATTAACATAATCACAGATACTCCAGATATACCGATGATCAAACTGTTACATGAGTTTATCTAAGATCTCTGCCATCAATGTCTGTTTTTTGATCTGATAAATCACCATATCCATTTAATTTGTCTTTCACAAATCCAATCTGGTCTATTGATTAGGTCTGATCATTTCTGAACAGGTCATTTGATCATCTTAATCAGGTCTAGTGACTAGCTCTGGACCAGTCATTAGTAATAATTATTTAGTGTTATTTATGTTTATCTAATCCAAACGGATCACAGACGTTCTGATGTTGTTGTGCATCGTCTTCCTGCTCCTAATTTTAGTTTTCATTTGAATTCTCATCATTTTTATCTGGCTCATCAAGAACCGAGTCCAACATTATTGGAGATCTCAATATCCCCGATGATGGTGAACAGCATAGCTTGTATATAAGTATATACACGCACTGGCCACTTTATTGGGTACACCTGTCCAACCACTCATTACCATAAATTACTAATCAGCCAATCACATGGTGAAAACTCAACGCATTTAGGCATGTTGGCATGGTCAAGATGATCCACTGCAGTTCAAACCGACCTTCAGAACGTGGCATGGTTGTTGGTGCCAGACATGCTGGGCTGAGTATTTCATAAACTGATGATCTTCTGGGATTGTCACGTACAACCATCTCTAGGGTTTACAGAGAATGGTCCGAAAAAGGGAAAACATCCAGTGAGCGGTAGTTCTGTGGGTGAAAATGCCTTGTTGATGCCAGAGGTCAGAGGAGAATGGTTCGAGCTGATAGAAAGGCAACAGTAACTCATATAACCACTTGTTTCAGCCAAAGTATATAGAAGAGCATTTCTAAACACACAACATGTGACGTGGAACCTCGAGGCAGATAGGCTACAGCAGCATGAGACCACACCGGGTGCCACTCCTGTCCACTAAGAACAGGAAACTGAGGCTACAGTTCACACAGGCTCACCATCATTGGACAAGAGATCGTTGGAAAAACGTTGCCTAGTCTGATGAGTCTCGATTTCTGCTGCAACATTCGGATGGTAGGGTCAGAATTTGGCATCAATAACATGAAAGCATGGATCCATCCTGCCTTGTATCAACTGTTGAGGTTGGTGGTGGTGGTGGTGTAATGATGTGGGGGGCATTTCCTTAGCACACTTTGGGCCCCGTAGTACTAATTGATCCTCGTTGCAACGCCACAGCCTACCTGAGCATTGTTGCTGACCATGTCCATCCCTTTAAGACCACAGTGTATACATCTTCTGATGGCTACCTCCAGCAGGATAATGCTCCATGTCATAAAGCTCTAATCATCTCAGACTGGTTTCATGGCTACGAGTTCAGTGTACTCAGAGGGCCTCCCCAGTCACCAGATCTCAATCCAACAGAACTCCATTAGAGTGTGGTGGAACGGGAGATTCTCATCATGGATGTGCAGCCGACACATCTGCAGCAACTGCGTGATGCTGTCATGTCAACATGGACCAACATCTCTGAGGAACGTTTCCAGTACCTTGTTGAATCTGTGCCACGAAGGATTAAGGGAGTTCTGAAGGCAAAAGGGGGACCAACCCGGTACTAGCATGGCGTACCCAATAAAGTGGCCAGTGAGTGTACATTTTATTTGTATATAATAGTGAGTTCTGAGAGGTGAGGTCATGAAGAGTTGTGTCTGAGAGGAAGTGAGTTTAGGAAGGCCAGTAATAGCAGCTCATTATTACACCAATTTATTTATTAACCACTTTACACAAGACGTCAGGGCCCCCCAAAGTGCTGCACACAAGACGTCAGGGCCCACAAAACACAAAAACGAGAAACAAACAAGTAAATATACCATAAAACAATAAAAACATTAACTAAAGGGCCTGGCTCATGCGATTCTACTCTTTCCAGAGCAACGGTAAGCACAATAAATCAAATATTACTGTTGGCACTATTGAGGCGTCTTGTTGTTTTCCTTCATCCTGGATAGAAGACACTTGGATTCGATGAAGCTCCGCCTCCTCCCGTGTGAATTCCACAATAGCGCACGGTTGCAGACCCAGAAACCGCACATTCACGCTGACGTGTCCCACTCTGAGGATTTGCAACTGAGACACGGAAATGCGTGAGTGAAACCAAAATACCTCTTTGGGGGAGTTTTCATAAGGAAACAAAAATGAAACGGTCAAAAGCTCCAAAACGTGGAGTTTGCATGATTTAGCACCTTTACGAATAAAATCATAAAACCAAAGAAGCTCTACGCCGGAGCCAAACGTTCAATGGACCCAGTTCTAACAGCAGCACAGAGTTAAGCGCTACGTTAAAAAAAAAACAGGTTTTAACACGAGTTAAAAATGCTGCTTAACAGGGAGGAGGAGCACCCTCCAAAGCTTAGCACCATGTACAGATGTACGCTCGCCCTGAGGTTTAAGACGCATCTTAGACTACAGCAAAGCCCTAAACAGCAGGGGCGTCGTTTAGAAAGCTCGCTTACGCACAAAATGAGGTCTAAAAAGGGATTCTGTGCAGCCGTGTGCATGCGGGCCGTTTTACTGAGCTGTAGGGTTTCAGTACGGATTCTAAACAAGCCTCCATAAACGAGGCCCTTTCTGGTTCTTATTTTCCATTTTAACCATCAGACCAGAGAGAGGCTGTGGCTTTGGGGCCTGAGCTCCTCAGGAACAAACTCTGCAGTTGTTCATTATCTTCTCATCCAGGACTAACGAGAGGAACCTTGGTGTCCTTCTAGACCAGCGTGATCAGTCCTTTTTCTAGGATGGCCTTATTCCATCGGAGTGATGTTGCTAAAATCAGGACCATCCAGGGTTGGGGTTAGAGTAGAGGTGCAGAGAAACGTGTCCATGATTTTATTCGTTCCAGACAAGATTATTGAGAACACCTCAAACAGAAAACGGAACTAAACATCCATTAGCTGCTCCTCTTTTTGATGCTTTATCACTATTCCATCACTCTGAGGTGGGGTTCAAAGGCCTGGGCGTTGGTGGTGGTGGGACACCACTGCTTTCTGCAGCAGGACACTGTCCTAAACAGCAGCCTCTCAGAAAACAGATGGGACGTGTCTTCTGAACAGCAGGCGGGTGTAGTATCCTTGTAGGTGTTAAAGAGCAGGAATGTTCCATTCATGTTGTGTTCCATGCTGATGTTTGTCTCAATAATCAGGTCTACTTTAGACCCGAAGACAAACAGCAGCTCCTCCAAAGCTCTGGTCAGCCATCTGGACCTGGTGACGGGGTCCTTCTGAGCAGCTGCTTACAAAAAGCAGTTCTGGCGGATTCAGACCAGGTCTCATCAACGGTTCTGACTCGCAGCTGAGCAGAGCGTAGGTGTCTTCAGGACCGCTGGAACCCTGGAGGTCAGTTCAAAGCATAGTTGAACTGGTTGGAGAACTTGTCATGTTTCCTCCTGTCGCTGTCTCTCATCACCTGAGCCACTCTGCGCAGGGCGCTCCTGGGGGGGACGAGAGGACACAGCTGGGACATAAACAGGCGCTAGTTCAATATAAAAGCATTGGCTGCAGCCTTGTGTGGGCGCTGGAGCTCTGCTGAGTGTTTCAGCGAGACACCAAAAGTGTCTGGCTCTAAAGCTCGCTGGTGAATAGGGTTGGGCATCGAGCATCGATCGGAACCGGGACCAACTGTTGGTTTTTTCCCGGAATCGTTCAAAGTTTTTTATTTCGATTCCTAGAATGCCGACGGAAGAGGAATCCGCGGCCGATCTCCGTGAAAAACAAACGTGATCTGCAAATTGTGATCAACGCTTTTCAGAGCTGATCACAGCAGCTGTCTGTGTGCAGCACGAGCCCCCCTCCCCCCACCCGGATATAAGAAACACGTCTGCCGAACTTTTACTCCCTAATGTAAACTTAAACTCCTGCAGCGTAGAGGAAACTTGTTAAAGTAAGTCAACACGGTGGATTTAATAGAAGCTTTAAAGAACAAACTCTGGACGGTGAGAGGTGCAGAAATAGGGTTTCTGAACTATTTCTGTTGAGTTTTAATGTTTAAATCTGTTAGATTGTTACTGACAGCAGCTACGTTTAAGTTTAACTTCCTGTTGTGACTGAACGCTGCTGCAGCATGGAGGTGTAGTTCTCAGTCATCCTGGACATGATCATCCTGAGTTTCAGCTGAAAACAGCTGCAGGTTTCTGGATATGTTGGAGACATTTAGCCTCTCATCCCAGAGGCTTCTTCCAGACTTTGGTTGTGGTCAGAAACAAACACACTGGTTGTGCTGCAAGTCTTTTTCTTTTGTTCTCCAAAACATGTTTCTGTCTACATCAGGGGTGGGCAATCCTGGTCCTCAAGGGCCGCTATCCAGCAGGTTTTAGTTGTTTACCTGCCCCAACACACCTGATTCCTGGATGAATCACCTGTTCAGCAGCTCATCAGGCTCTGCAGCAGCCTGTTAATCACTAGTAGATTCAAACCAGGTGTGTTTGAGCAGAGAAACAACTAAAACCTGCTGGACAGCGGCGCTCAAGGAATGGGATTGCCCACCCCTGGTCTAAATGAAGGTGATGTTGTTGTTCATAGAATTAAAATTCATGTTGAAGTTAAGATTACTTCATCAAGTAGGACCTGTGGTTAGCTGGCTCATGTTAAACATGTCATGTCTTCAAAGAATCGGAATCGGGAATCGATAGCAACCGGAATCGAAACGAGGAATTGGAATTGGAATCGTTCAAAATCAAACGATGCCCAACCCTACTGGTGACGTACTTGTTGAAGATCTTCTTCTCCAGCCTGGACCTCAGCGTGTTGCTGCTCTGCTTCAGATCACTGAGGTTGGGGTACTTCTTCTTCCCTTTCCTCTTTTTCCCAGGAACGCGATCAGATCCCAAGTCCTCTCCTGTCGCCGCTTCGATGTCACGCATCAGTTCTGGATCCCGCCAGTCTACAGCACACAAACAAGTCTCTGACCAGCACCGAGCTCAAATAACCGGTCCTGTGACACCCCCCCCCCCCCCCCCCCCGATTCTGCCTGCCAATCAGAGGCTCCCCACAAAGGTAAGCACAAATTTCAGCTGGCCCTTCAAGAGCTCGCGCGCCACGTAAAGAGCTAACGAGCCTGCTGGCTCACAAGGACCAGGGTTGGAGAGCCAGGAACTGGAACAGTTCTCACCAGGCTGCTGCTCCCTCCTCTTCCTCCTCTCCTCCTCCTCCCTCCTCCTGTCCTCCTCTCTGCACGGTCGGCCCTCTGAGTCACGGGGGACAATCCGGCCGTGGAATGGACACTGAGGACACAGAGACGTCTCAGACGCGCTGAGGAAGGGCTGCAGTTGTGTGTGATCAGGGCTCAGATGTGGTACCTTGATCCGGTCCTGGCGCTGACACAGCTTTCCGTTTCCTAGTGGGGCTCTGCAGAAGTGGTCGACGGGGATGAAGGTTCCAGGGAAGGAGATGTACCTGCTCCTGCTAGATGCTAACAGGTCTTTGTTCTCCA